CCGGGTTGCAGGGCTTTGACACTTTTGTCTTTTGCCGGGTTTTGGGTATCGGGATTCGGTGCATTGGGAAGATAGCTCACGAATTAAATTCCCGAATCCCCTACTAAGAGCAGGTCCGTTCAGGGAATAATTGGCTAGTTCCCGAAATTCTAGGGCTGGGGATCCAGAATCCAGCTCCCGAACTCCCTACAGAGCTGGTCCTTCAAGGGGACTCAACTGGGTTTTGGCCTTTGGGGTCTCAGGGTTTCAGAGCGAGTTTTCTGCTTGTTTTGCAACCCACCAAGGATGCTAATCGACCGCGTTCCGCAAAAAACGCAGACAGGCTTGCGAAGAGCGCGACGTGGTGAGTCTCGAAGGATCCTCCACTCAGACATTTCCGGCAAAGGGCCTGTAGGGCCCCTGTATGTATACATATATATATATATATATGTAACACATATATATACATATCTGTAGTACATTACACAAACTATAAATATATAAATCTAAGTCTATATGTTTACGCAGAGTAGTCCCAAAACAGTGAGAGACCACATGGGGTCACGAAAGAACGACTTTGATGTTACTGGAGCTCCAGACGTCCTCTGTACTACAAAAGTCGACTTATGGGGTTTTAAAGGAGCATGAGCAAGCATAGCTTCGGCAAGTTGGTTCTCTAAACCTTATAAACCCTAAACCCTAACCCCTAACCCCAAACCCTAAACCCTAAACCCGAAGCACTATCAGCCTCAACCCCAGCATCAAACGCTGCCACAGGCTACAAGGCTTTGCATCCGCACGGTAGGGCAGTGCATAAAACCCTCCAAGCACCCCACCCGCTAGGGGGCCCCCCAGTTATAAGTAGAGTGAAAAGAACCCTGAATTGGGTTATAAAGGATCCTAAATTAGGTTCTAAGTCCCTTAACTACAGTTAGTATAGTAAGGGGGCCCCTCCTTGTATATAACACTAAACCAAGTACTCAGCTTACACTAAAACAGTCACAGCCCAGATTGCTAGGCTTACCCCAGAACACCGACACCATCATCTTGCAAACAATCCCCTACAAAACCTTGGCCCGAAACCCCCTCAACCCTGCAAAACCAGGGTTTAGGTTATGGAGGTTTCACGGTCTCGGGTTTGCTGGCTTAGCCGGGGTTTAGGGTTTATTAGGTTTAAAACCTTAAACCCCTAAACCCGAACTAGGCATTTAGAAGGGGGGGGGTTCGGGCCCGAGCTGCTTGGGGCGAAGCTTTTTTTGAGCCTAAACCCCTAAACCCCTAAACCCCTAAACCCCTAAACCCCTAAACCCCTAAACCCCTAAACCCTAAACCCCTAAACCCCTAGACCCCTAAACCCCTAAACCCCTAAACCCAGGTTGCGAGCTTCAGCTTCGGCTGCCTTCCACGGGCTCGTCGGATCCGGGTGGGGACCTCGGCGTTGGTGGCCCCAAACTGATTCGTTTTCAGGGTTTATCTGTTTTGTTTGTTTATATATGGTTTAGGGCTTTAGGGTTTGTATGTGATTTAGGGTTTTAGGGTGTGTGTATATATATATATGTGCAATGTATGGTTAGGGTTTTAGGGTTTATATGGTTTAGGGTTTAGGGCCTATAGGCCCGAATTTCGGGGAGCTTTGAGGGATCATTGGGGGTCCAGGGCTTTACATCCAGCCCCTCGCTTGAATCCTATGCCCTGAACCTAAAAAGCCCTCCAAACACCACATCCCCAGGGTGGTGACACTCAGGCCCAGGTTTCCCTGCACTAAGCCATGATAGCCAGGAGCCAGGGTTCAATGCCCTCCGGTCGCGGGCCCAGATTTGGGGTAGGCAGTTGGAGTTACAGGAGTGGGCTTGGGGGACCAGCAACTAAGGTGCCTGGCTTCTTGAAGAGAAGAACCCGAAAGAGTGCTTTTGCAGAGTTCGGGAATTAAGGTTTTCACCCTTAGGCTTTAGGGCCGTGCTTATAGGATACATGGGGTTTCGGGTTTGCAACCCAAATGGGTCATGAGCCAAAAGCCCCAGAACAAGAAGCCCCGAAGGCTTGTGATGCGGAGCTGGGTCGAGTGAAGTGGCTCGCAGGATTTTTATCGCCTGGGGATTCTCCTGCCAAACGCAGCAAGTCAAGTGCAAGTTCTCAGCCCGACACCCACCCCTCTCTCAATCTCACGCTGAGGCCGCTCGAACGCTTGCCCTGGGCCCGGGACACTGCCATGGCCGAAATGCCGATGAGTGCCAAGGTCCCGATCCAGCCTGCGCTCGGGTTGTTTGGGCTTACGGTGTTTTGGGGCACTCTTAGGTTTTATGGGGTTTTAGGGTCTGTGAGGGTCCTTTCTCAGGTCTTGGGCGTGAAGAAAATCAGCATTGCCTGGCAAAACGCAACCCTACACACATACGTCGTCGTGTACACCCACACGCTGTAGAAACTACATGTGACGAATCTGCCAGGTCTAAGCATGACTGGCGAACCTGGCTTGGCGTGGGAGGGCTGCTCGTGTACCGAGCCTGACTTGGAGCCGCGGAGGCTTGGAGTGCTTTGGGAACCCGAATTGGGAGCCTTTTGCATGGGAACTCTAGTTCACGAATGCCCTACCTGCACAAAGAACCTAGCGGGAACGCTATAGTTCCCGACTTCTCTACTTAGAGAACATGCTTCAAGGGGCTACATGCGCGACTGAGTTCCCCAAGTCTCGACTAAAAGAGATGATCCTTCAAGGGGCTATGTTGGAAACCTAGCGGGAACACTATAGCTCCCGAATTCTCTACGTAGAGAACTGATGCTTCAAGGGGCTACATGCGCGACCTAGAGGGAAGACCTAGAGGGAACGCTAGAGTTCCCCAAATCTCGACTAAAAGAGATGATCCTTCAAGGTGCTACATTGGAAACCTAGCTGGGAACGCAAAAGCTCCTGAATTCTCTACGTAGAGAACTGATGCTTCAAGGGGCGATATGCGCGACCTAGAGGGAACGCTAGAGTTCCCCAAATCTCGACTGAAAGAGATGATCCTTCAAGGGGCTATATTGGAAACCTAGCGGGAACGCTCTAGCTCCCGAATTCTCTACTTAGAGAACATGCTTCAAGGGGCTACATGCGCGACCTAGAGGGAACGCTAGAGTTCCCCAAATCTCGACTAAAAGAGATGACCGTTCAAGGGGCTATACATCGGAAACCTAGCTGGGAACACTATAGCTCCCGAATCCTCTACTTAGAGAACTGATGCTTCAAGGGGCTACATGCGCGACCTAGAGGGAACGCTAGAGTTCCCCAAATCTCGACTAAAGGAGATGATCCTTCAAGGTGCTACATTGGAAACCTAGCGGGAACGCAAAAGCTCCCGAATTCTCTACGTAGAGGACTGATGCTTCAAGGGGCTACATGCGCGACCTAGAGGGAACGCTAGAGTTCCCCAAATCTCGACTAAAAGAGATGATCCTTCAAGGGGGTATATTGGAAACCTAGCGGGAACGCTATAGTTCCGAATCCTCTACTTAGAAAACTGATGCTTCAAGGGGCTACACGCGCGACCTAGAGGGAACGCTAGAGTTCCCCAAATCTCGACTGAAAGAGATGATCCTTCAAGGGGCTACATTGGAAACCTAGCTGGGAACGCAAAAGCTCCCGAATTCTCTACGTAGAGGACTGATGCTTCAAGGGGCTACATGCGCGACCTAGAGGGAACGCTAGAGTTCCCCAAATCTCGACTAAAAGAGATGATCCTTCAAGGTGCTACATTGGAAACCTAGCGGGAACGCTATAGTTCCGAATCCTCTACTTAGAAAACTGATGCTTCAAGGGGCTACACGCGCGACCTAGAGGGAACGCTAGAGTTCCCCAAATCTCGACTGAAAGAGATGATCCTTCAAGGGGCTACATTGGAAACCTAGCTGGGAACGCAAAAGCTCCCGAATTCTCTACGTAGAGAACTGATGCTTCAAGGGGCTACATGCGCGACCTAGAGGGAAGAGCTAGAGGGAACGCTAGAGTTCCCCAAATCTCGACTAAAAGAGATGATCCTTCAAGGGGCTATATTGGAAACCTAGCAGGAACGCTATAGTTCCCGAATCCTCTACTTAGAGAACTGATGCTTCAAGGGCTACATGCGCGACCTAGAGGGAACGCTACAGTTCCCCAAATCTCGACTAAAAGAGATGATCCTTCAAGGGGCTATACTGGAAATCTAGCGGGAACGCTCTAGCTCCCGAATTCTCTACTTAGAGAACTGATGCTTCAAGGGGCTACATGCGCGACCTAGAGGGAACGCTAGAGTTCCCCAAATCTCGACTAAAGGAGATGATCCTTCAAGGGGCTACATTGGAAACCTAGCTGGGAACGCAAAAGCTCCCGAATTCTCTACGTAGAGAACTGATGCTTCAAGGGGCTACATGCGCGACCTAGAGGGAAGAGCTAGAGGGAACGCTAGAGTTCCCCAAATCTCGACTAAAAGAGATGATCCTTCAAGGGGCTATATTGGAAACCTAGCAGGAACGCTATAGTTCCCGAATCCTCTACTTAGAGAACTGATGCTTCAAGGGCTACATGCGCGACCTAGAGGGAACGCTACAGTTCCCCCAAATCTCGACTAAAAGAGATGATCCTTCAAGGGGCCTATATTGGAAACCTAGCGGGAACGCTCTAGCTCCCGAATTCTCTACTTAGAGAACATGCTTCAAGGGGCTACATTGCGCGACCTAGAGGAACCTAGAGTTCCCCAAATCTCGACTAAGAGATGAGCTTTTCAAGGGGCTATACATCGGAAACCTAGCTGGGAACACTATAGCTCCCGAATCCTCTACTTAGAGACGATGCTTCAAGGGGCTACATGCGCGCCTAGAGGGAACGCTAGAGTTCCCCAAATCTCGACTAAAGGAGATGAATCCTTCAAGGTGCTACATTGGAAACCTAGCGGAACGCAAAAGCTCCCGAATTTCTCTACGTAGAGACTGATGCTTCAAGGGGCTACATGCGCGACCTAGAGGGAACGCTAGAGGTTCCCCAATCTCGACTAAAAGAGATGATCCTTCAGGGGGTATATGGGAAACCTAGCGGGAACGCTATAGTTCCGAATCCTCTACTTAGAAGGCTGATGCTTCAAGGGGCTACATGCTCGACCTAGGGGAACGCTAGAGTTCCCCAAATCTCGACTGAAAGAGATGATCCTTCAGGGCTACATTTGGAAACCTAGCTGGGAACGCAAAAGCTCCCGAATTCTCTACGTAGAGGACTGTGCTTCAAGGGGCTACTGCGAGACCTAGAGGGAACGCTAAGGTTCCCCAAATCTCGACTAAAAGAATAATCCTTCAAGGTGCTACATTGGAAAACCTAGCGGGAACGCTATACGTTTCCGAATCCTCTACTTAGAAAACTGATGCTTCAAGGGGCTACATGCGCGCGACCTAGAGGGAACGCTAGAGTTCCCCAAATCTCGACTGAAAAGAGATGATCCTTCAAGGGGCTACATTGGAACTAGCTGGAACGCAAAAGCTCCCGAATTCTCTACGTAGAGAACTGATGCTTCAAGGGGCTACATGCGCGACCTAGAGGGAACTAGAGGGAACGCTTAGGTTCCCCAAAATCTCGACTAAAAGAGATGACCTCAAGGGGCTATATCGGAAACCTAGCAGGAACACTATAGTCCCGAATCCTCTACTTAGAGAATGATGCTTCAAGGGGCTACATGCGCGACCAGAGGGAACGCTAGAGTTCCCCAAATCTCGACTAAAAGATGATCCTTCAAGGGCTACATGGAAACCTAGCGGGAACGCCTAGCTCCCGAATTCTCTACTAGAGAACTGATGCTTCAAGGGGCACATGCGCGACCTAGAGGAACGCTAGAGTTCCCCAAATCTCGACTAAAGAGATGATCCTTCAAGGGGCTATATTGGAAACCTAGCGGGAACGCTATAGTTCCGGAATTCTCTACTTGGAGAACTGATGCTTCAAGGGGTTACACGCGCGACCTAGCGGTTCTCCAAATCTCGACTAAAAGAGATCATCCTTCAAGGGGCACGCTGTAGTTTGCGAACTCTCTACTAACAGAGCTAATCCTTCTTGGGGTGATATTGGAAACCTAGCGGGAACACGATTGCTCCCGACTTCCAAGCAGTCTCTACTTAGAGATATGATGCTTCAAGGGGCTTTGCTTGGGCAACCTGGCAGGAACGCTAGAGTTCCCGAATTCTCGACAAAGAGAACTGATATCATGATGATGCTTCAAGGGGCTATATTGGCAACCTAGTGGGAACGCTAGGAGTTCCCGAATTCTCGACAAAGAGGACTGATGCTTCAAGCGGCTATGTTGGCAAGATAGCGGGAACGCCGTATTGGCCACCTAGTGGGAGCATCCTCGACTATAGAACTCCGGACATTTCTGGTAGGAACCTAGCGCCTGCCCGCCGCCCCCCCCCCCCCCCCCCCCCCCCCCCCCCCCCCCCCCCCCCCCCCCCCCCCCCCCCCCCCCCCCCCCCCCCCCCCCCCCCCCCCCCCCGCCGCCCTCCACCCCCCTTCCGAAGCAGCCGCTGTCACAACCCGAGTCTTCTTGCGAAAAGGCCCGTGGCCCTTGCAGGAAGACTCCAAGGTCAACGACAACAAAGGCCTCGGCGCTGCGGCCGCAAGTGCTGATCTGTTTTATCAACGTTTCACTACGGCTTGGATGGCAATAGTAGCTAGGACTGACGGTTTACAAAAGGGGGGAGGTGTTGGAGCACCTCCTTCTGCTCAGTGTGGTGAGTTTCAGTCGCGGGTGGGTCTCGGCATGCTGCTAACTGGAAAAGCCATCCCTGGCCAGGCATATGAAGCAGGGTTAATTTTACTGTTTTTGGTGAGTGTATATAAGGTTCCCTTTTAAAATTGGTGAGTGTATATACGGCGTGTCCTTTTATGATGTTCACGTGCCCGGTTCGGCACTCGGGGGAATCAGATGCAACCTCTGCAACTTCAAAGCTCGACCCACAACCTGGAAAAGACACATTCCGACATACCCTCAACCTAATCATACCGAAACCCTAAACCCTAAGCTTGTAATGCTTCTGTTTACGCGCCTCGGACTGCGAACCCTGTGGAGTAAACCTGTCCCTTGAACAAGGATACGTCAGCCGACGACCCCCCCCCCCCCCCCCCCCCCGCCCCCGCCCCAAAAAAAATGAGGTGCACCCGTTCCTTAAGAGGACAACTTACGTACTCGTCGCCCACGCTTTCAACCCCTAAACCCCAAACC